CAGCTCTGCCTTGCTGGCGGCTTTTCTTTTGTAACTTTGACAGGAAAGTACACAACAAAGCTTTCTCAAAAATTATATCCCTTTCTGCAGCATTTTGTTGTCTTTTTAACTAATTCTGCTCTTACGGGTTCGGTTTTCATAAGTGACATAAGCAAAAGTAACTTTTCTGAAAGCAATGAAATTGCACCGGCTTGAGCAAGAGCTCAGAAGCAGGGTCAGCACAGCCTGCTTTGATTAGGAACGTTTTCGTGATGAATTCTTGTCAGAAGCATTAAAAATAATTTTGAAAATTTAGGCTTTTAAACCTAATTTTTCAGATGTAATATCAGTACTCATTGTGCAGCTCCTACTGCAAGTCAATGGCTCTCGCTCCGACCTGCCTACAGGTGATGGGATTTTCCGGAGCATCGGCCAGCCCTACCACACAGAAAGTTTTGCTGTTTAGCAGAGAGAAGTTGCCCTCTGTCATTTTTCTGGATGCTGCAGGCATCCAAGCGTGGATTTGCAGGTGGGCAAAAGGGGCTGAGGCTCCTTTCCATGCACCCTGGTGCAGCACCAGGTGTGAGCAATCCCCCTCCTCTCCCCACGGCTCTGCAGCCCTGGTCAGAGGGGAGGGAGGGAAGGCAGCCCAGCTGGAGGAAGTTAATTTAAGAGTCGTTAGGATGGTGTCAGAGTTGGGAGTAGGACCTGGATCTCTGGGCAGCCAGCATGGCAGCGACTGCTGGGCTGTTCTGCCCTTGCCGTTGGTGTCAGTGACGGACTGATGGTATTGTCTTGGCAGCGGTTTGAGCTGGGAGCCCCGTTCCCGTGCGGTGGAGCAGGTCCATCTGCGCTGCACTGAGGGCTCCCTGGAATGGATGTACCCAGCACGAGCCCTGCGTGTCGTTCTGGAGCCCAACCTCTCCAGTACACAGCACACCACTGTCTGCATCAAGCCCGCCAGTGACTTCCAGGGTGCCAGCATCTACGTGGAACGTGCTGGGCAGCTGCATCTGGTGGTAAGCGAGGCAGAAGGGGCTCGACCCCACCACGTGTCTTGCTTCAGTGCCCACACACCGCAACGAGTGGCCCTCTTCCTGCAGGCCAGTCCGCAGAGGGACATCAGCCGCCGGACGGCCAGCTTCCAGTATGAGCTGCTGAGCAACCAGAGCGCTGCTGGCCCCAACTTCAAAAAGAT